TTAGAAAAAACTGATGGTATATATATATGTTGAGAGTATATATATATTTGTAAAAAAATCGCGACGCGTGAGTAAAAAAATGATGACTAACATTGTATCTATTGTATCTCGTGATTCTGCAATTGATGAGATTGATGAGATGATGTGCGGAGCTTAATTATTATAATATAATATTATTTATGATTATAATAACCAATACTTTGTTGTGGCTTAGTGATTAGTAATCATATTTGAAGTTAGATATATATAATTTTAAGATATTAAAGTGGCTTTGTGATTAAAAATAGTATTTTATACAATAATTTTATGTCCGACATGGATGATGTCAAATCATTGTACTACATGCTGAATCACCTGATCATCTCAAATAATTTATTCATTTTACGTTATAAAATTAATGTTTCTTTATAAAATTTATTAATTATACAATTTTTATATTATCAATAACATTGTTTTTTTTTCATTGACTAGTGATTAAAATTGCATCAAATTTGACTATACATATTATGAGGAAACATTTACTAAATGTTTTAGGTCAGGATCGATTTCCAACGATGAGCATGATCACGAACCAGAGAAAATTATTTGTTCGTGTACCCCAAATTTTATTCATATGAATGGCGTAAAATTCAAAAGCATCAGTATATCATCTGTTATGTCATATTTATTTATTTAGTCTTAAAAATTTGCTTTATTTTCGATCAAAATGAAAATCTTATTAACGTGATGGTTAACATTCTTACCAAACGTTTACAATAGTAAGTAAGTCATTACTTATTTATTTCTTTTAATGAAATGTAATTTAGATATGTATATTACTCATTTTTAAATACATAGAGTTAGATATATTGAACACGAGAACACGACGTGTTAATATTCTCTGAATAATTATACAAGATGAGTCAATTTTCATAAAAAAAAGTATATATATTCTATATATTTTTTTCATACATTTAATTTTTTTTAACATATTTTTTCGTATTTTTTTTTTTATTTCAATAACTCGGCAACAAAAAAAAAAGTTGTTCGCGCGTGAACAACTGTCGTTTGCCGAAAAAAAAGTTTTTTTTTTTTCTTTGATCGTTAAATGAGGTAACTAAATTCCTCAAGGGTGCAACAGTATGCAAGAAAAAAAAAGTATTTCTGGATAATTGATTATGTTCTGCTTCAGAATTATTATTATTATTATTAGACCTATCATTTGATTTTCGATGCTCTCGAAGACCAACGTGATCTTCATTACGACGACGAGATCGTTCATGACCAGGTAATGGAGTATTGTGAGTAATATTCGGTATATACCGTACACATTTATCTTTGTGAAATATCTTCCAAACGAGATTATCAATATGCGCAAAAAAATATTTTGAAATCTTTCATCAATTACGGTATATTTTATAAGATAATGTATAGTTACTTGAAAAATGAATAATAAAAAATTTATTAAAATTTTTACTATTTATGTTTTATAATGATGGAACCGAAAATATATCTAAAATTTAGAAGATTGCTATTCTAATATGTCTTTTCATTACATATGAATCCAAATTTGCAAGTATTGACCCTAGTATTTTAATAAAAAAAAATGGTTTTAAAAAAATTTCCGAAGAAAAAAAAAAAACTTTAAAATATAGATGCAAGTTATTTAAGGACTATAATTTTGGATATTTGACGGGGAATGCAGAATCTTGTTTCGAATTAAGAAAAATAAGCGTCAATATATAAATCTACTTCTTTTTTATGTTAGTAACGCATTTCTTTATATAAATTGTTACACAAAAGAAACAATAATAAGATAGTAGAAATACATAGCAGTATACATACTCTTACAACAATTACATTGTCTTATACAGTATGAAGTGAAGATCAGCAATACGGTAATAAAAGACTTACAAATTATAATGGTTTTTCCATAAAATTTATTATATTTCCACTAAACATCCCAAATAAATAAAAATCATGAATCTTTCTAGACCTATCATTGCCCACCGCTACCCGTTACTGCCTGCCACTGCAAAAAAAATTAGGCACTGCCCCGTTACTACCCGTCACTGCCGAAAAAATTAAAAATATTTAGAGTATGGCTATCGACCCTATAAAAATTTCTGGAAAAAACTCCGATAAATGTCAATTTCCCAAAAAAATTCAGATATGTAATCAATTTTCAAAGATTTTTATAGGGAAACTAAAACTATTAAAATTGTTTTTCGAGTTTTAAAATTAATATGTATCAGAATAATATTCTATTTTGTCAGAATATAGTATCATTATGATTGAAAAAGAAAATATTTAATTTAAGTAAAAAAAAAAAAATAAAACTATTTGAGTAGGCAATCGTTTTAAATTATAGTAAGTCTTTGTTGTTGGTTTTTACATGCTATGAAGTTGTGCTTATGCACCTATCATATTCTCAGCATTTTACAGATAAAAAGTTCAAAAAAGAACAGAAAAAAATTCGATTCGGATTGAAAATCCATCCGACGGATGAAAAATTTATTCCGAACCAAACTCAATTCTTAAATTTATTATATTATGTATATTATGTATCTCAAAAAAAACTCCTTTTCTTTATTGATTAAATCCATGTATAAATTGACTATCTGTCAATCCGCAGATTGGGACTACTTCAAAGTGCTAAATTTCCATGATCAAGCTGATCATTGAATCATATCAAATGATCGATGTTAATTGGTTCGATTAAAGTCTACACATTACGAATTTAAAGAGGTATTGGTTATTTAGGTGATACTCCGATACTCCTAAAAAGGGATGTTTACAGTATGGTACTATAATCTTAATAATAAATTAGATATTTTTTTACGATGACTAAAAATCTTGATCAGTTTTGTACACGTAGCAAAAATTTTATGCACGATCGATCATAAGATCAATAAACAGAGTAATTATCTAAATATTGATATTGATCTCTTGATCTATAGGAAAAAATTTGAGTAATATCATGCATAAAATTTGTTTAATTATGATATACCCTGACTAAAACAATTTATATAAAAAAAGGTTAAATCATTTCATTCTTTATTCTCTTCCGCTTACTCTTCTTCCTTCTTTTCCTCTCACCCATCATTCCCAACAAAGTAACCAAATAAACTTATCTTTCTCTTTTTTTTTATTCCCGCTTCGCAGTTTTCACCTTCCTTTTCTTAAAAAAAAGTTCTTTTTTTTCGCTGGTTAATATATTATTCCGTTTCTCTTTTACACGCACTATCTTCCTTTCCTTTCTTTCCTCATCATTTTCTTCTCCTTTTCCTTTTTCCAAATTCTTTCCTTCATCTCATTCGTCCATTTCTTTCCTTTTTTTGGGTACTTTGGTTGAAGCAGCATGATGCTATGCATGGGCGGGAGCATAGCGTGCTTACCTTGTAAGCTGTGAGTACCAACTTTGCTGCAGTCTCACAGTAGGGCTGGTTGGGAATTATTCGGGGCGCGGGCTGGAGCGTGGGTACCAGTTATTACTGCAGTCCCGCGATAGGACCGATTGGTTGTGGAACGGTATGGTGCTATGCGTAATATTTTTACGGGGTAGAGTATAGTGCACTTTTTAGGAAGACCCTTTTTGGTAGGGCCGTAGTACTTTATCGTTAATATGTTAATGATAAGCAGTAAGATTTTCTGCAATAAATAAATCAATTTAATTTTTTTTTTTTGTGATTTACATTTTAAAAAAATTTTTTTATTCAAAAATATATATGAAATATATATGACTAAAATTTCTACGTTAATATTTAGTTGCTCATTAATTTTTTTATAACGTATCTTTAATCAATGCATTTATAGCTAATAAAGTTTTTTTTTAAAAAAAATACGTATATATATATATATATAAAGTTATATACTGTAATATGATCACATATTTTGATAATTATTTAGATTCCCACATTATTCGTTTATGCAAGGATATTCGTTAATAAAATTGCTGAATGATTTGGGTTATTGAACGGGGCGGTTATTTTAGTGACCTTTTAAACCTTTCCTAAAATTGTATAAGTCTGTTAGAAGACTGCTTCTATAAAAAAAAAAAATTATTTTATCATGAATTAATATCAATATTATGGTAGAATAAATTTCAAACTATAATTTATTATAATAATTTATTATTTTATATTCATGTATGCATAGTGCACACTGTAATATCAGGAAAAATTTTTTATAGATTAGCGTAATATTTCGGAAGTGGTGTAAAATTTTGAAATATTTAGAAATTGCAGATCGATCAACCAATGAAAGTTGGCAAGTCCACTGATCGGCTGATGTTCGTTTTCATTATGTTAAAAATAATTATTATGATAGTTATTAATACCGAATTTAGTGAGAGCGTACAATATAAACATGGGGACGAGACCCTGAACAAATTTCCAAAACCAGAAACTAATTTCGGTTATCCCAATCCCAATGTTTGATAATCATCTTATTTTTTAAGTCTTAATTTAGAAGTCTTTTGCTCTTTTTTAAATAATAAATTTACCATAAAATTCAAAACAAACAAAGTCTGCAAGTAGTAGATTTTTTGAGCAAGGAGACGAATTAGTCAAAGGGCACTGTGTTACAAGTAACTTTAATTCATAATGATATAATTTTATTAATATAATTTTATATAATAAACATAGTGAACTAATAGGTTTCTGTTGTATTTCGATATAAAAGTTTCTGGATTTTGGGTTAGATTCGGTAAATGCATGTTCCGAAACTAAGCTTCTGTTTCGGGAGGTTTCGGTTTCGTGCCCCATGTTTACCGGGCGCGGGCCGTACAAGTTTTTATAGTCATAAACAAAATTTAAAATCAACAAAATAAATATAATAGAGGTAAGTAATCAGGAGTTAATTTCAAAGTCAAGGCGTTCGATAATGTTTTTATTGTTACTGTATAATACAAAAGTTATATCTTCGGCAAATAAGCAAACTACCAATTGCGGAATCAATAATTCAAAAGCAACTAACCACATATCGCGAAAATGTTGTAACATGTCAAATGTACGCATTTAATAAATACCAACGATCAACGAAAATAATATCTTTTATTGATTCTATAATTAAGGCCTACACTAAACTAGTAAGTAATTATTTTCACTTTTGCCAGCTCAATACTTTAAATATCATTCATTCATCTATTCAGTAAATAAATTTTTATTTCCAATAAAATAATAATTTAATTTGATCAAAATCGTTTTTATATAAATCTTAAATATAAATGCTTTAATATCCAACCAAAATAAGAATATCTAAAAACCCACCCATTAATTTTAATTAATTAAAATATTTATTTTATTCTTTCCAACGCTCCAATATTCTTAATGTTTTATTCTCTATATATTTGTACTGACTTATTTATTATTTTGTAACTCTTTAAGATCTAATAAATTTTCATCATTATTTTGGCTGTCATCAATCAATAAATTGTTCAAACTTTGAAATCTTGAATTTGACGTGTCACCAATAAGATTGTCACCAGGGTTGTCGCCAAGGTTTTGCTGCTGAGTAGATGATGATGAATTATCTAAGAAATCTTTTGTATTGATTTTTTTATTCTTGTTATCAGTAGGTTCAGTTCTATTATCCACGTCTCCATATGATGTTGAATCATTATTTCTTATAGAATTTCTCAAAGAAGGAGATTCTCTTATTAACCCCACGAAATCATCATCATTTTCTTCATGTCTTCTTTCATGATCCCATCTATTACGGGATGATCTGTGATTTAATTGCCTAAAATCTCTATCGTTTCGTATAAATAATGGTCTTAAATATTTATCATCAAATGATGTAAACCAATGCTTCTTTAAAATTTTATTATTTGTTGTTGTTTGTTGCAATTGAACCCTCACTTCAGGATTTCTATTAATACTTCCCGAATCAGATACGAATGATCCTTGAGAGTCTGTTCGATTATGTCCGTTATCACTCTCTCTTACAATATCGCGATATCTTTCTCCGTAATGAACTTCGTTATCATATCCATCAGTATAATATTTATCGTAGTTGTCTTCTTCTTCATCACTATCACTACCTTCTTCTTCAACTCCGGTTTGTACCTTCATTATTTCTAATACTCGACTAGTTGATCCTCCAAATACAACAACACTTAATACGACAACTACAAGAACTGTTGTTCTCATCGCGTCTGCATTTTCACCTTCTAATCCAGCTGCTAATGCAAATGCTACTGCTCCTCTCAAGCCTGCCCAGAATAACATTACTGAATACTTGAATGGAATAGGTTCACCTCTATTTGCTTTGTTTCTATATCGTGATACAGTATTGATTAACTTTGAAAGTGGAAATACTGCGCTATATCTTGATATACAGATAATAATCTATAAGGATTTTTTAAAGAAACAAAAAAAAAAAAAAATAATAATAATAAATGAAAAGTGTAATAAGTTTTAACCACAAGTCCACAACACATAACAGATACATACTGATGTAAAGAAAATAAAGAAGGGTTTATACTCCAAATCCAATTGTGTGAATAACGTCAAGCCTAAATAGATGAAAATAAAATTCTCTGATAATTTGGCAAGAATATGAAACATATATTTTGTAGTACGTTTTGTGCGTAGTGACATATTATCATACGTGTAGTGTTTCAATGTTATACCACAAAACAACAAGGAAACAATTCCTATTTTTTAGAAAGAGATTAATTAATACTAAATAAAATTCAAAAAAAAAGTTTTTTTTGATGTACAAACCTGATAAATGTAATCCGTTTGCGAACAAGTATGAAGAATATGCCATCAATGCCATAAGACATGATTCTATGGAAGGATACTTATATAAACGAGAATGCTTTAGCATGTAATTAAATTAATTAAGGCTTAATATTAGCAAAAGAAATAAAATCAAATATATTATAATAGTTAAAGGATATCAATGCACACGACACTCCAATAATAACTCCAATTATTAAAGAGGTTCCAAAGTTAAGGAAGAATATAAAAATACCATGAGTTATATTTGAGAAATGAAAATCTTGACCTCGATATTTTTTTAATGTTCTAACGAGAGAAATAAGGTTAATATATATATAAAACTATTAATAAAAAGAATTTCACAAATGAAATTAATACGAACTCATAAAGTACAATGGAAACAACATCATTCAAAATACTTTCTCCAAAAACTATAGAGTAAAGTTTAGGATCAACTTTGAGCGATTGGAATATGGTAAGTACGGTTACCGGATCGGTTGCTGATAAAACAGATCCAAAAATCATTGAATCTAAAAATGAAAGGGACATTGAGCCTATTCCCATAGCTGATATTATTCCAACTAAAATTCTTTATAAGGAAGAATATTAATAAAAATTATAATTAAAAATTTTCAATAAAGCGGTTTAATATTTACCCTATGACTAAAGCTGATATAAAAGTCCCTAAAAACGCAAACGTAAGAATTGTCCCAAGATTTTTGAAGAAATTTCCCTAAACATGAAATGATTCGTAAGCAATACAAAAAAAAAAAAATCAATAAAATTATTCAAAATGTTCACCGCCACTAAACTTATTGTTAAATATATATATATATATCGTACCTTCTTCATTTCATATCCAGTATTTAAAATAATAGGAGGAAGTAATAAGTTAAAAAAATACGTATAATTAAACGTAACCATATCCTGAATCATTGATCCTGGAGACATACGAATAATCAATCCCACTAACATTCCCGCAAAAATCGAAATTACAGTTTCGTGTAATGCTCGTATTTGTTTGCGTTGTAAATAATAGGAAGAAAACAATGATAGTATTATAAGAGAGGTTAGAATAAGTAATGCCCAGCTCGAATAAAGCTCTTCTTCTTCAACTGGTGGTTTCTCCATGACTGGTGACTAGTTGTCTAAAAAGAACTGAGAAATCGAGATTCCGGAACACGTTGGTAGAAGTGTAGCCGCAACTAAATGAAAAAAAAAAAAGTTTTAGCTAATTATAGAATCGCTAAAACTTATTTTATTACTAATCAGTAGATTTGTACAACCGTAAAACTGTATGACAGGAGACTAATTCGGGCCGATATTGTAAATTTCAAGAATTGAGCCACTGAGTCGAAATTACTTTATATAGTAAACACAGCCAACCCGTATAATTACAAAAGTATCGACTTTGATAGGTCAGGGGATTATTTTTGATACATAAAAAAAAAAATAGAATAAATTTTTATCAAGAAGCATATCGCAACTCTATCAAAGATCGATATTATTGCTATATATTATCTTAAAATAAAGTTTATCGACAGAACATTTGTGTACAATTTTTTATTACTGTATCTTTATTATAGGTCAAAGTTTTTAAATTACACCCAAATTTTACCAATACAATCAAAGCGAACCCTTTATTTTTATTGCATTTTCAATTTCCAATTGAAGGTGCAGTCGTGAGAACGAATGAATTTAATATTTTAAGAAATTATGGAATATTATAAAACCGTATAAATTTATTGTTCTATCCCTATTTTCCGAAACAGCTATATTAAGAAGGTGCAGCTGTAGATTGCTTATTCTCTATATTTTATAATCGTTTTCTATTTGCTCTGATTAAAAGAATTATCGCCCAAAAAGGTAAAAATGATTTTCATTAATTTTAACTGATTAAAAAAGATTTTCATAATTAAATTTCGCTGTGACGTTGCCGAAGATAATCTCACGCGTGTACAACACATTTCAGTTTCAATATTTTTTTTGATATTATTAAGATATAAAAAGATAATTATGCAAATTTTATATAAATACCGTACCTCTTCCCTCCCTTCTCAGTCATCACATTTCTTAAAAGAAAAAAAAACACATTCTCTTTAATTTCATTAACATATCATCCCTTACCTTATTTATCTTTTTTTTTCATCGTTAAATTTGTTTTAATAAAATGAGGGGTATTAAACTTCTAATAATTGCCTTGTGCATTTTCAAAGTTATTGATGCCGCACCTGCCGCACAAGCAGTTACACCATACACAACACCTCCAGAAACACCTTCAGAAACACCTCCAGAAACACCTCCAGAAACACCTCCAGAAACACCGCAAACACTTCCGGAAACACCTACGGAAACATCTCCGGAAACATCAACACCTTCGCAATTACCTCCGCAAACGCAAAATGCAAACCTCAACTTCCCTATATCAGGTAATGGAACTTGTGGTGTGGCAGTTGGTTCTCGTTGCCCTGATGGTTTTTGCTGTTCTGCTGGTGGTTCTTGTGGTGAAGCTCCCGGTAAATATCTTAAATTCTTAGAGTAAACCGAATTTCAGAATAGATTTTTTGATTTAATTTTTTTCTATTAAAATTATATATTTTATAGAACATTGTCAGGCTGGTTGCCAAGAAGAGTATGGAGTTTGTGGGGTTCCAGATAGTGTTAGAAATGTAGGCTTCCAATTTAATACATGTACTGAAAATAACACCCTCGCGATTACATTTGATGATGGACCACAGGAAGTAAGTAAATTTTATAATTCACCTACAACTTTTAATGAACCATAATATTTATTATCACTTTTTATAATATAGATTACGGAAACATTGCTTGATAATCTTAAAGAAAGAAATGTGAAAGCCACATTTTTCATGAACGGACATGCATTTCAAAATCATTGTATTTATGATTACGCTCCCATTGTACAACGAGCATTTAAAGAAGGACATCAAATAGCTTCACATACTTGGTCACATCCTCATTTGCCACTAGTATCAGATGAGGAAATCCGTTATCAATTAGAATTTCTTGAAGTAGCATTCAAGAAAATGATTGGGGCAATTCCAACTTATTTTCGACCACCATTTGGCGAACGTGCTGGATCAGTACAAAATATTTTAAGAGAAAAAGGATATAAAATGGTTATATGGGATATTGATACTAACGATTTTAAAGGAGATTTACAACTTGCTACGGACCTTTATAATACTCAAATATCTAAATCCCCTGAACCTAATCCTCATATCATATTAAATCATGATAGAGTTGTGATCACTTCCACTACTCTTGGTCCTTTTGAAGTTGATGATGCTCTAAAAAGAGGTTATAAAGTTACTACCGTTGGTGATTGTATAGGAAAACCAGATAAAGAAGATTGGTATAGAGATATCGGTAAACCTGAAAAAAGAGATGATACTTGGAAATGTACTATTGAAGATATGCATGGATTTGGAGCTGCTCCAGATGGCACATTGTAGTAGCTAATAAATATTAATATTGAATTTAGCTTAGTTTATTTTACAATTTTTTTATACATAATTTATATTAGAAAAGACAAATAGTTTATTTATAGAATCTACAATGCACGAATTTGTATTCGTAGCAATTGATAAATGTTGCTCTTTTTTGTTAAAATTTAATAACCTAATAAACAAAAATAGATAAAAAAAACTAAAATTACACATTTTATTGCTGTTTTGCTAACCCAAATGTAGTAATGATTTTAATGAACTCTTAATTGATAATTAATGTTATAAAATCTTTTTGCATCAACGAACGTTCTCGAATCTTCCAAAAATTTGCATGCTTGTTTGTTTGCTTGGTGCTGATTAACGTACAGTCTAGGGATTAGAATCGATTATCGAATCTTTGTAGATTCGATTTTCCTTAAAAGATAATCAATTTTAAGCTTTAATAATTAATTCTATGATCAGTAAATATATAAATTCTGAATTGAAATCGTAAAATCTATTAAGAAATTATATATCGTTACTAATACCCATACTATAACATCGTTGCGATCGTTGCCGATCATTTGCCGATCATTTCGTCATTTTTAGGTTTTTGAAGGCCATTATCGATCAATTTTTTCTTTTTGAAAATATTTTAAATAATGCATTTATTTTTTGGATGTAATGTTGAATTAATTTTTTTTGTTTAATTTTAATTTTCTCTTCAACAAATAAGATTCGATTTTGATTCGATTATTCCAATCCCTAGTACAGTCTCTTAGAATCTTATAATTGTTAAAACAAAAATGATAACTTTATTTAGTTTGTTTGTTATCAATGAACCTATATTTGGTTACAATAAATAGAAATTAAATAAGATAAGCGGTACGTAATGTCGTAATGTGGATACACAAGGTTTAAAAACATATCTTAAAATAAACTTTAAGATAAAATATTTATAACTTATTATTTGTACGTTAAAAGCTTAACTTCTTTCTCTCATACTGTCATTATTAACAAAAGTTAAAACCAAAGAAAATGGCAGATAATCCTCCACCACCTCCTCCAAACCCTTATGTTGCTAAAAGACCAACAGATAAATGGAGGCATAGGGGAGTAACATATTGTAGAGTTTTTGGACAATGGGAATGTGAAATGTGTGGAAAAAAATGGGATAGTGGGTATACCTGGGTGGCTATTAAAAAGTACGAACAAAATCTCGATGTTAGCCACTTCAAGAATAAAAAGGATCGAATGTATCAAAGATGCTCACCTTGCAATAAAAAAAATCCAAATAAGCACGAGGCAAAACTTGTATCTTTTAAACTGCTAGAAAACAATGTTAAGTTAGTAAAAGGTCCTGGACATATAAGAAATCTATGTGGAAAATGTAATAAAGGAGCAATATGTGATAGGGCTAAGGTTGGTTTAAAAGTTTAAAATTATTATTAAATCATAAACAATAAAACTAATTATATATGTTTATGTTCTACACTATAGAAAAGATAAAGACAAACGTTCCAAAATCCGTCCGTGTTTCGTTTCCTAATATTCCTATCGTTATGATATTTTTATTCATTTGCTGTGATTAGTACTATTATTTTCGTTAAAATACAACTACATTCTTAAATTTTTTGAGAAATTTATTATTATTATATTATATTAAAATTGAATTTTTTTTAAAAAAAAATTCTTTTTTACACTGTGAATATTCTTTGTTCGTTAATTTTTTGTCCTTTGAAACAAATCTGCAGCTCAGCCGAACAGCCGAGATTCAATGAGTGATTGTCTTCATTTACTGACAATTTTAGAAAATTTGGTCCCCAGTAATCATGTGGGGGTTTTTTTTGTACGATTTTATACCTTTATATGTATATTGAATCCTATTTTAAGTATTTTTGTATCCCAAAAATCATTCCTAGAAACAGAAACCAAGGATAAAGAGTGATACCGACGAATTTTAATTTTTACATATTAGTATAATCTAATGAGTACTAAATGAGTACTATAATTAATATATTATAGATATTGTACGGTGGTATTTACATTGGTTAACGTTAACGTGACGACGTGACGTTAACCAATATATGTAAATATAGCACCGTACAATAACAACAATATTCGTATTATCGTGCGACATAGAGTCATTGTATTTATCAATAGACTTTTTCTTCCTTATTACTACCTTAATAATGTAATTGAAATTTTGCAACAAATTTTGCGGATATCTAAGAAAAAAATATTAATTCCAAAACGATTGAACGACCTTCATCATTTACAACAAAAGAATGAATAATTTACAGAGTTATTTAGAAAAATTTTTAATGATAATTCTTAGTATTTAAAATGTCACGTAAACTAATTCTTTCTCAGTGTTCGTCTTTTTTTTCTTCTTATTTAACCTAAGAGACAGTTAGATAACCAGCTACTCCACCAACGCCAATAACAACGGCGGTAAGCCGGTAACTAAGTTGGGATACCTAATAATTCAACTTGTATGATTTCAAATTTTGGAAAATTCGGACATAGTTAACAAAATATTTTGAAATGCCCTCTCCCCTCAATATTTATATATACTGTATAATAAAATTTACCTTTTTAATCAAGCAATAGCGTCAGCGCCCAAGATGTTGGTGACGAAATACTGTGCAAAAATTTTATTGTAATACATCATCACGTGGCCAGACAGGGGTCTAAAATTTTTGATTTTACCAGAGAATTTTCCGACGCGGTTTCAATTTATCGGTTTTTTTAAAAAATTTATCGGAAAAATTTAATTTTAGCATAATTTTATTTATTAAAGTTTCGAAGAAGCTGTCCCGAATTACACACCAATGATTTTTGTTAATACACCATTATTTCTACCATTATTTATTCAGATTAACTACATTGGCATTTATAGTAGTCATTTTTAAAAATTTTGTATTTTCGTAAATTTTGAATAAATCGTAAAAAAAAAAAATTATCTGATTATCGTTGTATTATCGTANATCTAGATGTGTATAAGAGACAGGTTTACAATATAGTAGTCATTTTTAAAAATTTTGTATTTTCGTAAATTTTGAATAAATCGTAAAAAAAAAAAATTATCTGATTATCGTTGTATTATCGTAAAAAATCATTTTCAAATTAATTTACATCTTAAAATTTTTTTCGAGAAAAAAAAAAACCGATTGACAAAATACTGTATATCGATTTTTTTTCTAAGAACACCACCAAAAAATTTTGGCAAACGTGACTTTGTACTACTAATCTAAAATTAGTAGAAATATCGAATAAAATAGAAGAATATTTTTCACCTGTTTTTTCCATGTATGTAATTTCGCTTTGAAAAGTATATAATTATTTTTTATTCTATCCTATTTCTTATTTTTTTTATTGTATCTTATTTTGTTGTGAAATAATAACGCGTTTTTTTAATTATTAAATATATAAAATTTCTTGCAAAAATTTTTTTTTTTGTAACCTTGGGAGTATAAAAGTGAGTTTTGGTACGAAATCTTTAAAATCATTTGAACGACCGACAACAAAATCTCGACAATCCAAAATCTTGACAAATCAAAATCCTTGACAACTGACAAATCATTAAATCATTATACCGACAAGTTGATTATCCCGACAATTTTAGAACAAAATTATAAAATTTACCACATTTAAACTAAATATTACATATAGCAATTTTGTTAGATTAGATTTACAAAATTGCCGATATAATGAGTTAATGACTTGTCGGGATTTTGGTGTCGATCTTGTGTTAGTCGTGCAAGTGATTGTCGAGATTTTGATCGGATACCAAGTGGTTGAACTGTCAAGTTTTAAAGAAGACTTTTCTGTTTAATACACTATAAAAATTATCTTTTTATTACAATTATTAAATTATATAAATAATATAAAGATTTATTTGTTAAATTTTTAAAATGACAAATAAATAAATTTTAGGATCATAAGGAATATTTTAAATAAACGTTTCTTTGAACTACAAGTATTTTTAAGATAAACTTCCCTCGCTTTATTATTTCTTAAAAAAAAAAAAAAATTTGTACAAAATAATAACTAATAAAATTCGACAGGTCACAGTGGATAAAATATATTATATTTTGGACTAATAATAATGAAAAAGTATTAATAGTTACTACTCGACATAAAAATAATTATTGTATCAATGATTATATTCTTATTATTGTAAATACATGAAGGGTGCCACAATTACGAGTGCCGAGCAAATAATTATTGTACTTAGTAAACAAGTTGTACTAAATGCCTGATAAAATACGATTAATAAACATTAATTATTTCTTAAAATTTATTTTAATACCCTTATTATTACTCTGTCTTTTTAACTTCCTTTAATTACAAATACAAATTCCGGTAATTACAAATTCAGTTAATTACAATATATTATCCTATTTAATTAATCATAATAATATATGATTGAAACAAGTTTTTTATAATATTATTAGATTCAAACAAAAAACATTTATTAATCATCGCCATCACGCCATTGTGTTAAAAAATCATAAGATTATTTGGTTAGTAACTTTATTCGATTAGAGTGGCCAAGAGCCAAGTAACAATATAAACAATACTGTAACAATAAAAATGAAATAATGCTATTTTAATTTTTTTTTTTTAATTTTGTAATTATTATTTTCCAAATTTAGATGAATGTTTTAAAAATCTTATCGGTAAACTAGCCGATTAATGCACGTAATGCTAAATAATTTTAATTATCGACTAAAAGCTAAAAATTTTTAAGTTTGTACAAATCGAATTTAATCTGCAGGAGCAAGTGTCGATCGTTTCATTTATTTTTACATAGCTCACCATTCTTTTTTTATAATTAAAATTATCGTAAAATAGGAATGTATCAGCAAATTTAAGTAAACCCCTTACATATTGAAAAGTATCCAAGATTGTATTTATGTAATCGATCTAGTCCGAATGGAATTTTTTTTTTTGTTTTTCTTATAAGGCAATGAATCTCGTGGAACACGGGTTCAAATTAAACCGAAATATGATTCCTTTACATGTAATATACGTTAACAAAAATAATTTTTTTTTTTAAAAAAAAATAAAGAATAATTATGGATTATGAAAATAATTCTTCAAGATCTAGAAAATTTATCATACTATACAATTATAATTTAAATAAGATTACTAATAATTAAAATAGAGTAGTTTCAAAAAGTTGCTAAATCGATTATCATTTTATTCTATGTGAATGTTTTCGAACGGTACTAGAACTTCTAACTTCTATTAAATTCTTGGCTCTTGGCTGGGGCTAAATGCTAAATATACTAACGTAAACTTTGAAAATTTTTTAAAGGTGACGTTCTTGGCTCTAATTGCGATGATCACCTGATCTTTGTTAAATTCGGCCAAGATTTTGTGATCTGCAAAACATAATTGTGCGACTTGTTTCGGAATAAATTTTTAGATCTTTTGGATTTTTGTGCGTGTAACCATATCATATATATGATTTGATAAATTTGATATCAAATTTTCACACACACGAGCCAAGAGAAAGAATAACGTAAAAGTAAAAAGATTGGGAGATGAAGAAATGAAAAAGGGGGAATCGTACGCAAAAACAATTCTAGACGCGGTATTATTGTAGTAATTATAAATAAATCTTTCTTTCTTTTTTTTATTCGTTCGAAAGCAATTAAAATTCTTCAAAACATTACATACGCCAAGGATGTCCAGATAATTTATTGGTTATCATTGAAAGGTTTTTTACCTTAATTTCGAATGCACTAATAATTATATATTTATATTCAAAATTTCAAATTATGCAAATGACTTTACCGATTTGGTAACATACGAGTTTTAATTATTTGGTAAATTTTATCTATTTTTAAATTAAAGATTATATTGATGAATTTTTATATAAATATGATGCTTCTTTTCTTTCAGTTTTTTTCAAGTCAGCTTAATATCTTAAAAACAAATAGCTGTCTTATAAAAAAAAATAGAGATATATTATCCCAATACCCTTTAGACATATTTCGTTCAAAATCTCGTAAAATGAAGCTCTCTTACACTCTAATTTTGGCTATAAATTTAGCCCTTTTCACTGCTAGTTCTGTTGCCACACCAATTGGAAACATAGGAAATGGTGTTATTAATAAAAGAGGCGATGAGGATGAACCAAAATTTCCTCCACCTCCTCCTGGTAAATTTCCTGATGGCCCCAAAGGTGGAGATTTTGATGGTCCAAAAGGTCCAAAGGGTAAAGATTTTGATGGTCCAAAAGGTCCAAAAGGTAAAGATTTCGATGGTCCAAAAGGTCCAAAAGGTCCAAAGGGTAAAGATTTCGATGGTCCAAAGGGTCCAAAGGGTAAAGATTTCGATGGTCCAAAAGGTCCCGGTCCTAAAGATGGACCAAAATTTCCCCCTAAAGCAAAATAAATGAAATTTTAATCTAAAAAAATATTATAAGTTTAGTATGTCATTAATTATGAATTATTAGTTTTAGAGATATGATTAATTTACATTATAATTCCTTAAATTAAATGTATCGTAATTAATATTTATTTTTTCTATGAATAAATGATAAGTAAAATCGTATATTTATTTCAAATTAAATTGTCATGATACATGGTTTTACCAACTCGTAATCAATTTACAGAGTTAGTAACTAAATGAAAATTAATAATTTGCTTCAAATGGTATTAATCAATATTGCCATTTAATCTAATTATTGAACGTAATTATCTAATTGTGAGCCTTCCGTATTAATTACGTTTATTAACTGGGATCCGTCCAAAATCCCGAAACTCGAAATTTCGAAGGTACGTTATCCCGACACTCTAAATCCCGAATTGTCAAAATCCCGACTTGTCTAAATCCAGAATTGTCAAAATCCCGAATTGTCATAATCCCGAATTTTAATTTTTTCGTAATCTTCAGGATAGGAATATGAGTAAAGTAATTTTATATACTCCTACAATAAAAGATTGAAATCTCCCATAGAAAAATACCAATAATGTATACACAATTTTTGAAACCATTATACCAACAAATTCAAATATGTTTGAAGTTTGAACTGTAACACAAGCATGTTTTCTTCATCATGTACATACTTCGAAGAATACCAATTGCTGTAGCAGTGTAATTATTAATAATATAATAGTGTTTATTATAAGTAATGTAATATTATGTCACGATTGGACGATTGGTCAAGTAATAAACCTTAAAAAACAACACGTGACTTCAATCACGGATAAATCTCGGCAAATTTCGCATTAAAAGTTTGTTGAAAAACATCTCACGCTTGAGAATAAAAACTTTATAATTGAGAATAAACATATTTTTTAAAGCTACAAAAGATTCAATTATTAAACAATCCAATTTCAATCCCTAATATAATAGATTTAATAAAAGTTTTTAATATTAAATAATAAAATAATATCGAAATAAAAAAGTACATTAAGAATAAAAATAATAAATAAATAAATAAATATGTATCTAATATATTAAATAATTAATAGTATAAAAATAAAAGAACTAGTAAGAATCGAGATCTATATAATCGGGTGTACTAGGTGAATCTTGATTTTCATTATCCGAGATAAGTTTATACCAAGCTTTAATTTGAACTTCATCATCATAAATTATATTTTCTTTATCTACACTCTCATTAAACCATGAATATAATTTTGTATCTTTAAGTTCTTGAGATTTTTTTATCCATTTTTTCATTAAATCAGGATCTCGATAATAACAAATATATGGTGAATTATTATATAATGATTCGCTGAAGAAAGGATTATTAAGCCTTTCGTAATCATCAATAAGTTCTGATCTATATACCAATAGTCCAAATTTACCATCTTCTTTAGCGTTATTAAATGTATCACTAAAATAAAATTTTAAAGGTTAGATTAAACATAAATTAAATATGCTTTTAATGATTATAATATATATATATTACTTACTTCATCAACGCAATGATCATATTTAATAAAATAAGTACTAAAATAATACTTGCTATGAATGCAAATAATTTTAATGGCCAATAATTATAATCACCCAAATTAATTGTGCTCCAATTGTAAGTGGAAAGTATAGCATCTAATGGTGTATCAAAGGGATTATCAGGAGTTCCTCCCGTTAAATTTGACGCTGATGGATGTAAATCAACAATCGATGGAAATCCAAAAAGAATAAACCTATTCACAACACATAAAAGACGTTAAAATTATTCGAAAGACTTGATAATATAAAGTAATATATAGAAAAATATTAATAGTTACATTGAATGTCCAAATCCAACTATTAAAACGAACATAAATGTGAAAAATGGCAAAACTTTTTCTAAAATACTTCCAAATATATATATATTTATTGCTATTCCAGAAAATAATCGTAAACATAATAACTTTAGAAATTAAATAAAAATAAATTAATATGAGGATCAAATTTTTTAAAAATAAAAAAAAAATGCAATAAACATACCATTTCAATCCAAAGTATTAAGGCAGTTACTGATGTTGCGAAAATAATCGATTCATCATCGATCCCATTAATTTTAATAAATGTGTTCGCTAATATTAAAGAAAATACAATCATACCCAAAATGATACTACATGAGTCAAATATGTTAAATAGAGTAAAATATTTGCTTCGATATTTCAACATTTGCTTAATTTCAACTGTCAACAAATATATTCCAGAATAATAAAATATTACGACCATAATTAAACGATAGTTCTTATTTTTATCATTATCATTTAAATAAAACCAAGAAAGAACAGAAAATAGAGTTAAAAATAAAATGTAAAAAATTAAAGGTATCATACAATAATTTTTCGTTTGTCTCCATCTTGAAATTATTACTGATTCCATAGACGGAATATTAAAAAATGCACTCTTATTTTTCTTAATTTGAAGAAACGGGCTAAAATCTTTATTATTCAGATCCTTATAACTAGGTGGTATTAATACTTTTATCCACCAAAAAGAAGTTGTTAATTTTCTAATTAATTTTCTAAATATTTCTTCTTTAACAATTTCCCCCTTTATTTTTGAATAGTAATTTGTAAAATTTGGAAGTGGAACCATACAAATATCGGGTAATAAATCATCTCTGTAGATATAAAAAATATTAATAATAAGTTTAACGTAATGAATTGGTTTAAAATGACATTTACCTTATTTTTTTATATTTCATATATTTCAAAATAGTCGAATAATCTGTTGATATAAGCTGAGTAAGTGGTATATATACTTCTAATGTATCTTGACTAACTGATAGTGTATCAAATGTTTTAATTGGAAGATTATATTTCATTTTTCCAAAACACGGTTTATAGTATAATGATTCCACGTAATTAGCTATTAAATAATAATTATATTTAAAAAATGCAATAAATTAAAATAACAAAAATCACTAAGTATATACCATAATCGTGTTTAGATAATTCTGGAAGAATTTTTGTAACATTAATCATCCAACCAATATGACCCATGGAATGTTCAGCATAATATTCTAATAGATATGCCAACATAACAGCATCTTGATCTATAGATTATAAATATTTAGGATCAAAAATTCAAAATACATTAAATTACGATAATAAAATAAGAAAACGCTAACCTTGACAGAATTTCAAAGCTAGTTCCAAATCATTAGCTGATCTTAAATCATTATCTTGTAATCCTAAATCGTCATTCAATTTCAAATTATCATAACATGGGTAAGAACCGTATTTTTGTTGGGGTCTGTGTAACTTTTCAGCATTTTCAAAAAGAACATACTTAATTAAAGAAAATGAACGCGAATAAATTAAATATGCCATTAAGGGATATTGAATCTCCATAAGTTTCCAATAATCAGGATATTTGTTAATAAAATCTTTAATGATATTTGTAATTCCACTAACAAACTTTTGATTTTTTTCTTTAGAATTAATACTATCAGTGTGTCTATATAAGTAAGCAAGTGATTTACACGCGTGAATTATAATAGTAATCATATTATCTTCAATTTGAAATTTAGAAGCTTTCTCATGTTCAATATTGTCATCTATTAAAATATAAACAAGATTCGAATTTTCAAAATTGTTAAAGTCATCATAATTTTCATAATTTTGGTTTTTAGATTTCCATAATTGAATACTCTTTTGACCAGTTATAAGAAGAAATTGCCCATCATTAAGAAATCTACCGTGAATTTTCTTTCCATTATTAGTATTCCATGGTTCTAGTTCATGTGTACTAAACTTATGTCTCTTCTCAGTATTATTTTCTCCAAAGGTGGATTTATTTATTTTTATTTTTGATATAACCCTAAATTGACCTTCATAACTCTTTTCATCATTATCGAAAAGAATAACAATATTACCATTTGCCTTTGTTAAATTATGATAATTATCATCATATTTCAATAAAGTAGTAATTTCATCATCTGATAATTTAATATCTTTTTCAGAAATAGGAAAATAATCATTTAAACATCCTGATATAAGCCAAACATGAAATTTCACGTCACTTTCTTTATCTTCTTCGATAATGAATAATTTTTCATTATCTTCAATAAATTCTAAAAATTTGATTTTATAAATATTATTATTAAATTTTTTCGAAACAACCTCAAGACCACTTTCCATTAGATAAATTGTAATAATATTATCTCCATAAGAATAAGCAAATAATCTTGAATCAGTTGATACTGCAAAAATTCCGGGTTCATGGTTTCTTGAAATTAAAGAATCTTCTTCTTTACAATATCTATAAAAAACATTCACTAACTGTGAAGTGTTAATATTATATATTTCAATACTTTGTATTTGTTGATAATCACTTGTATCGACCATTAAAAATTCCTGATATCTAGATTTCAAAAGATATTTCCAATTAAATTTTGCACATTCGACGCTTTCTAATTCTTTAAATAAATTTTCAGGTAATATATAGCAATCTTCTTTAAGTATAATTGTATCTGCATTCAATTCATTTAATTCAATACTCATCTTCTGCATTTTTATACAATTCATGCATACAAGTGTTACATTCTTTGAAGAATTTTTGGAATTTTTTAAAAAACCAACAACTCCACCAAGACGATACTTATATATAGAATTATCATCATCGTTCGTATTTATATTAATGTCGTTAGTATTGTTACGATTTTTAAATGAATATTTGAAAAGCTTTGTCGTTCCTTCACTTGAAACCAAGGATAGTCGAAATTGTCTATCAAAATCTTTTTCAATATAGGAAGGAGAAAAGAAATAAAAGATGAATGGATAAGAATTGAAAAAGAGATCTAGGTAGGTGAAGAGAATAATCCGACTGATAAAAAAAAGAATCAAATAAAAAAAGAAAAAGAGAGGAGAAATAATAAGGAAAAAGAAGAAAAGAATTCTAGTATTCTTTTTTAGTAAATATATTATACGAACAAATAAATTTTTTATATGATCAATGTATCGTCTTACGATAATTAATGCTATTTGATATTTATTAATTTCATAAATTCCATTCGGATTCATATCTTTTCCAGTAATACAAGAAATTGCAACTAATCCAATATCATTATTAATGGTATCCGAAACTGCTAAAGACCATCCAAGAACAATATCGTTAGGTGGTTTCTTATCAAAGAACTTTTTCCTATCAAACCGTATTTTTGTTTCGTCGTTTGTAGCCACTTTTTTAATCGTTATAAAAAAGCCATCTGATAAAAATACGTTAGAGGAAGTTAACATTTTACTTTTACCTTTTAAAATAAAATACTAGATGACTAACTTACATGGATTAAATGTTGCTACTATCGAACCGTCTGGGCTAATGGCCACATAAGTAATTTTTTCTTCAAATGTTTGAACTCCAGAAGTACCACGTTCTAGATCTCCCGATTCCGTCGTATAATCCGTGCGTTCGGTTTCATTCATGGTTTCTTTTTATATATATATATAAAAAAATATATTTTCTTATGAAACAAAAAAAATTAGACAAGTATCAGACATACAGTATTTAAATGGTTAAGAATCGGCAAATATGTCGATCCTTTCTTAATTTCTTATGTAAACCATTGGTATCAAAAAATTATGCTTTTTTCGGTAAAGTGGCCTCATTGTTAAATTTAGTAATTTTGAATGAATTCAATTATAGGATAACGATTCAATCTTATCACCAAAAATTTATCATAAAAATGAATGACTTCTAAATCGATTATCAAAACATTTTTTTTTTTTTATAGATATTTTTTCATAACTTCCATTCTATTTAAATTATATAAAATTTCTGGTGAATACAAATTATTAGGAACTATTTTCTTTCTTGAGTTGAAAATGGATAAAAATTTATTTATTCAAAATTTATTATATTTTTTATTAAAACGTACATTTTTCTTAATGGACATTAAAAAACAGTAACTCGTGATAAGATCGAAATGTTATTGTGTCCCCTAAAAATTGTAAATTTCCTAATTTTCACAACTTTTAGTGTACCCGGGGAACACCTGTTGAAACGAAAAACAGTAAAGAGGCGGATTTTGACGAAAATATCTTCCGTAAATAAAAAAGGACAATCATAAGAAAAAAAAAGGCTAAATTTTTTGATATTGTCGGTTCTTAAAATTCAAATTAGGAATTTTCATTGAAAAAAAAATGACGATTATTTGCCACATTAGTCCTACAATGTTGATCATCGTACGATTGACTGGAGGTCCTATCAATGAGTGGTACAGTGAAACATACAACCGATTCCAAAAATAAATAAACTTATTAGTCAAAAAAATGTTTAAGATAAAATTTTTTAAGATTATATGAACATCAAGATTAATATCACAATTATCATATATATTACATAAACTTCTAAATTATTTTTTTTTTTACTTTAATGTATAGTCGCTTAGTGTATGGTGGCAAACAATATGGACAATATGGTATTATATTAGGTGAAGAAAAAGCTTGTATAAGAAAAATCAGCAAAATTCGGGTGAATTTTATTTAATCCATTTGAGTATGGAAAAGTTTGCGTATTATTAAACTCCGAATAAATTAGTAGTTCTTTGCGAGCGCATGACTGTCACGTGATTAATAAATAATGAATTTACAAGCTTTAATATTATACGTAATATATCAAGAGATTTAATAGTGAAGTATAGAAGTATAGACTTTCATATTTCTGATAAAGTTATTTGCAACAATTAATTTTAAATGGTTGCATAATTGAAAGAATTCATTACGCTCGAGATAAACAAAATATCGCCAAAATAATAATTTCCTTCCAATTTTTCATATTTAATAAAATTTCTCGTCAGGTTAATGGTCGTATTGTTGCTTTGGATGACTCAAATTATTACACTATACAATTTTTTATTTATCAATATTAAAATATCATTATAAATTTTTAACTTCCAGCAGCAGTAAAAAGATTTGGACAAAGAGAGTTTGTGCAATTTTTCAGTTACACCTTCAATTCCATTTTCAGTTTTAAATTTTATCTTCAATTTTTACTTTCAATTATATTTTGCATCCTTGTTTTCAATTTTATCTTTAATCCATTCGTTTCTTTTTAGCCCTATCTACTCGTTCACCATGTCATTCCAACCGGTTTTGAACCATTTTGTGAGCAAATTTTACCAAATTTCATTTTCATGCCAGGTTGTAAAGGCTTTCACAGAATAAAGTTATTACAGTTATTTATTTTTTTTATAATTTTTACAAAAAATAGAAAGAGAAGAAGAATTATATTCTTTGGTATAAATAAACCGAGTTCGGCCAAAGAAAATCATGAAAATCTTTCCCTTTATAGATAATGCCTGGTTGAAAGCTATTATCTTTTTTGGATATTGACCGAAATTATCATAATTCCGGCCCTGAAAACATGCGTACAAGCTTAGTAAAATATTTTTGGTTGTCTCCGACCATTTTATATATATTTCGGGTCCTATCCAACTCCTCTGGCAAAATTTTTCCCGTATAACATAAAAAAAACCACATATAATAGATTTCTTCGAGAAATATCAATGTATCGAAAGGAGAAAGGAAAATTTTCCATAGTTAATCTTAAAGCGGCTAATGGAATAAATAATGGATTAAATGAACACGGTTGTTGTGAATCAAGTAGAATAGAAAAATGTATTTTTTTAAAAAAAAATTTAGATTTAGACTATTTTTATTATACATTATTTATATTTTTGTTCTTTATTGCTGAATGAAAGTTTTAAAAAAAAATTTAACCGAACTTCGAGTTTATTTGTTAAAACATTATAAACAAAAAGACATAATTTTGAGAACGTCTTAAAAAATTTTTTTATCTTGCTTTTTTATAGCAATAAATGTTTAATTTACAAGGATAAAGTTACGGTAGGGATTATATTATTCTAATCATTATAAGCTAAAAAAAAATTTGCGCATAACTGGTATCTTGGATTATTGTTGTGGGATAATGTGTATCATTTGGGATTTCAATCTTTTATTATCACAAATATTTTTGCTAATCTAATATCGTGTGCTTCATTATACCAAAATATTCTGTCAATTGTGGCATTGGAAAAAATTGTGGGCAAATATAAAATCAAGATAACAGCAATAATATGTGACTATAATCGATTAGTAGTTATCTCAACGGTAATTTGCTATTTTAAGTTGGTCGAGATTGGGCAGATTCGGACCAATAGAACCAAACGTCCAGACTTTTTTTGCCGGACCAGTAATTTACTTTTATTCAAGGACGAAAAAAAGGCCAGCGCTGATGATTTTGATCTTGCTGTAAATAACTTATTGACAAATTCAATTCAATTGATCCCATTTTATTTGGTGAAATTCATTTCATTACTACATAATTTATGTTCGGCAAGACATTTTTGAGTCTTTACGCAATTGATGGTTCAGAAGGTTCTAAAAAGAATTTTACACGCTTAGTCCCACTTACAGATAAACTTGATTCAGTAATATCTTAGATAGGACTATTATTCCCCCGTGCAGTTATTAACATAGCGCGCATTTTAAGAACATTTTAAGGTATTATCCCTAACGAAGTTATACCTACTAGGAAGACATAAAGGTTGGGAAAATCTGAGATTACTTTTATGATGACTTAACGTTAATGGAAAAGAAAGTTGCTAAAGCGGATCTTCCCTATGCTGAAGAACTTCTGCATCAATTTTTTATCAGAAGTGTATGAATATCCAAAAAATTATAAAGGTCTACATCATCAGCTTAAAATAATTTCAAGCAGTTAAAGCAGAGTGCCACGACTGCCACGTGGCTGTTATGAATCTCTTAGGGCATGATAATCAGAATCAAACTTCCTTTTCCGAAGCCTGCTGATAGGAAGAACCTATGGTGGACACTAATTTTCCTTTGCGATAATGGTCATTCATTATACGTGACCCCATTGCGCTGGTGATTCCCTTCGTCTTATAATTGACTATCAAACTCCTCCTCATTGTTAATGAACTGCGGCTGATCTACAATGTTCCATATCATATTCAGGATACTTAATAATGATGGGCTGAGGTTTTAACTCTTCCGTCTCCAATACACACCTATCCTTTCTTAATAAGACTGATATGTTTACAGCTAGCAGTGTAATAAGCCGATTCATTTTTCGGTACTAAGACAGGCGCTAGAATTGGGTTAGAATTCGATTTCAGGGATGTTAAAAATTTTTTCTGTCTCCTGTACTTGCATCTTCAAATCCTCAATTTCATGATGCAAACGTTGATTAGCTTTAACCCTTTTGTCATGTTGTGCGGTTGGTCTAACCAGGCCTGGCAATGTAGTGTCATAATTTTACCATAATATAAAAAGTAGTAAATAGGTCGGTAAATTAAGTAACATTAATATTAACCCGCCTCGTAATATGTGGCGCAGTATTGAATAATGATGATAACTACCCCAGTGGCACCGACAAAAATTTAGCGATCACGTGAGTAATTTTGTCGATCATTCCCAAAAAATGGTAAGCAGATTTAACGAAAAAATTTATTGTTATTATTTTTTTTGAATAAAACTTACTACAGACATTTTCTAATTTTAAAATTCGTACACTATACCTAAATTTTCTTGATCTGCAAGTTTACTTAGGCAATAAAGGTAGGTTTTGAATACAGAAATTTGTAAAATTAATTATTTACGAATTATCATATAAAAAGTCAAAAATTTATATTTAAAGCGTATTTTTATTGTCTAGGTAAATTTGTAGAGCGTTCAAAAATACACATACTATGTAAGTTTAAAAAATTTATGGCGTTTATATTGTGTTTTATTCTTATTTTTTTATTTTTTCGTTAAATCTGCTTACCATTTTTGGGAATGATCTACAAAATTGGTCACGTGAT